GCTAGTATGTATTCTCTAATGTAGGGGGTTCCCTAGAGAACTTCTTGCTATATATACTTGAATAAAAATCCCAGCTCTCAAGAGGGTAAACGTTAAAAAAAAAAAAATAAAAATAAAAAATAAAGATAATTATGCACATATATAAAAAAATTATAAAATACGTGTATAATTCCCAGTATAAGGCTATGCAAATTAATTAATTAGTTTTCATAACCGGCCGGGTCAAAATTTAAAAACTCGAAAAAAAATTTTATAAAATTTTATACTATATATGAAATTTTTTTTAAAAAAAAGCCAGCCAGTCTGATTAAAAGTTTCATGTTATGAAAACCAAGATATTATATTTGTGGACAAACTATAAAATATCTGCTATTTTATTTCTAAAAATATACTCATACAAATGTTATTAATAAAAAAAATTATAATAACTTAACAATAATAAGTAGAGAATATGTCTGACCATAAATATTTCATTATGTGGAAATAGTATGATGATATATAGATCTAAGCAAATATATTTGGATATTACATCGTACAAAGAAATAGGATGAATGAAATTGGCTTCTTTCAAAAATTTCATAAAAAAACATCTTCATCCTTTTTAATTTTAGTACTATTTTTATAGCAATGACCCATTTCATATGTTCTTTATCAGATTTTATCTTAGCAGATTTTTGTAAATAAATAAATGCCTTAAGTTCTTTTTTTTCAACACCAAGACCATAATAATTGACCAAATTTGCTTTAAGAACATAATCTATTTTGATGGATTGTTGAGAGTGAATTACTGTTTTATTTTTATCTTTTTTAATCATAAATCTATTTTGATAACAAGCATTAGCTTGAGATGTTCTATTAAAATTCCTAAAATCAGCAGGTTTTTGATAAGAAACAAATAGCTTGTGCTCATCTTTTTTAACTTAAATATACTATTTTATGTGAGATGGCGAAAAATAAATTAATGTTGATTTTTTAAGAAATATAATTATAAATTAATAATAGTATCATACCATTTGTCATTCTCATAATATGTCTAGTCCAAGTCGAAAGACCTTTAACCCAAAGCTCAAACAATTTCTACTTAAAGAAAAAAACTTAAACATGTAAACACAAGCATGTGTACTATTAAATACAGTTTAGAATGTGAAATACCTGAACTGGCAAATCTTTCATATCTAATCTTGTAAAGTAATATGTTAAAATAATGTTCTTAAATTCAAAAAAGCAAGTATAAATAATAATAAATCGATTATAAGAATATAAATACTTTCGATATAAGATCTTTCTAAAAAAAAAAAAAAAAAAAAAAAAAAACTCCCAGATTCTATATTATGAAGACGATTATATGATTTAAATCTTAGTAAAAATTACACATAATTTTGTTACATTAATAAAATACCATAATATACTGTCATTAGTATCCAGATCTTACTAAAAACTGAGTTATATACCTTTAGATATTTAGCTAAGAATGATCAAAAAATATCTGTGAACAAAGATGGTAATTAGACAAATTGGACATTTAAAAACTATGTGAATTAGACATTTGGATATATAAAACTCTATGACCAATTCAAGCCATGTATATTAATATCCAGAGCCTATATAATT